TTTCTTTTTTTTAAGATGTTATTTATTCATGAAAGACACACAGAGAGAGAGAGGCAGAGGGAGAAACAGGCTCCATGCAGGAAGCCCACTGTGGGACTCGATCCTGGGACTCCAGGATCACGCCCCCGGCTGAAGGCAGATGCTCAACCGCTGAGCCACCCAGGCGTCCCTGAGTTGGTTTTTCAATACGGGAAACCAGTTTCTAATCTTTTCCTTATGGAACCAGCAGTCCATCCTTTCCTGACCGGTGTGTAGAATTTCCTCCATCACATGTGAGGTTTTTCATGTGTTTGTTACTCTTCCCAGGTGGTCGTGCTCATTCTATTGATCGCTTTGCCTGTTCGTCTTAGTTTTAAGTTCATTTTATGGATATGCCTTTAACTACTCCCCATGGTTGGAAACTTAGGTTATTTCCAAGTCTTTTGAATTTAGTTACCATCCTTTGAGGCAAATCTTTGCATACTTTCATTATTATTTTTCTAGAATCAGTTCTTAGATGTGTTTTCCTGGGTTCAGAAGGATACCAGATTTTCAGGCTTCTATTATCACTGGATGATATTCCTGCAGAGAAATGTTAGTTGGTGGTTCTGGAGGCATGTGTCTGGGGGCATGTGCTGAAGTGGGTATTTGGTTGAACTCAGTCCTGGGTGTAGCCCCCCGCCCCCCTTTGGGACCCATTGTCTTCCTCCTTGGCTGAACGAGGATTTTCAACCAGAGTCACCACCACATTTGGAGCCCAGTCTTGAAGTTGCTGATGCTACTTGGTCGTTGGCAGTGTCCTGAGGGCCTGAGGACCATCAGGTGTGAGAACGAACTGCCCAGAATCTTGCCAGGGGAGGTGTCTGAGGCCATCTTTGTCCACCCATAGGAGAGGACCGAAGCCCTTCCTTGGCGTTCCCATTATCACCACCACTTCCCACCTGGAAGGGCTTGCCAGGGCCAGCATCGGCTCTGCGTCACCCAGGAAATGCCAGTCCCTCGTTGCTCTCGTAGGGTTAAAACGGTTTCCTCTTTGAAAGGCTGGCACGGTAGAGGGGATATGTGGTTAGTCTTTTATGCCTTTATTTGGCAGAGTTGAGCTCGTCATCCTTTGTCCCCACATTTCTTCCTCTTTCTTTGCCTCCTCCTCTCCCCTCCCCTCCTCTCTCGGTTTTGGTTTTAATCTCACTGGTTCACTACATCTAAAGATCAAGACATCACTGTTACAGCTGTGTTCTCCTACTTGATTTGGGAAGGACTCGGTCCCATAAGCGCACACGCACAAACACACCCGCCTCGACGATCTGTTTGTGCCGGGGGGCTCCCTTCTGGTGGAGAGGCGATGGGGAGCTTTCGTCACATGGTTGTCTGCCCACCACATTGTTACTCTAGCCCGGAGAGCTGGAGGGTAATGGCGAGGCATCTCGTCCCCAGGGTAGCCAGGCCCATCCCAAGAATGAGAGAGTGTGCGCACGTGGATATACGTGCCTGTTTGTGTGCAGGGGTATACGTGTGCATGCCCATGTATGTGTATACGTGGGTGGGTATGTATGTGCATGTGTCCGTTTGTCTGCCGTGTCTCCCTCCCTTTGGTCCGATGCCCAGGCAGGTGGACTGGGTTCTTCTGGGTTCACTTGCCGCAGTGCGCTGTGTCTGAGCCCCTGCTCCCTGCGGCTGTCTTGGCAGGTTCTCCCATGGGCAGGTGGTCTCTGTGGATGAGCTGCGCCCCTTCCAGGACCCGGACCTGAGCTCCCTACAGGCTGGCTCTGCATGTCTGGCCAAGCAGCAGGATGGCCTCTGGTACCCCGCTCGGATAACTGGTGAGGCTGCCCACGGGCCTCTCAGCCGGGGCCCCTCCTGGAGAGCCCTGTTCCATGCCCAAGAGGAGCGAGACCACCCTTGACCTGGGCCCTACCTTCCTTCTAACTCCCAGTGTGGTTCCTACCACCTGTTGAGGCCACTGAGCTGGCCTGTCTTTGTTCCCTGCCTCTAGATGTAGATAATGGCTACTACACCGTCAAGTTTGACTCACTGCTGCTGAAAGAGGCCGTGGTAGAGGGGGACAGCATCCTGCCCCCGCTGCGCACAGACCCCACGGGATCCTCAGACTCAGACAGTGGCGACCCGGATGACCCCAGCTATGCCAGAGGTATGGCGGCAGTTCAGGATCCCAGAAGCCAGGAAAGTGGGGTAAGGGGAAGCGTCGGTAGCAGTCACCCTGAGAGGCTTCCGGCTGGCACGGCCTGTGACCCTCTCACCACATCCTTGGAGAGTATGGGGGCAGTGAGGCAGACTGTGTTCAGAAGGGGCACGCATGACTGAGGACACGTGGAAGCCCACCACAGGCGTTGGGGGCAAACGAGAGCAAGCGTGTGGAGTCTGGGGCAGGCCCTGAGGCCTGCAGATGGAATGACCCGGCCCTAGTCTTCAGGGAGCACACGGGATGATCGCAGCTCGACACCCTGCAGGCCGAAGCCGTGTCCGCTGAGGCAGGGCTGGCCGGTCAGCGTGCGAGGGACCGGTGGGGCGTGGGGGGCAGGAAGGAGCGGCTCCTTCCAGTGGTCTCCACGTGGGGACACCTAGTAGCTAGAGGGGAGGCTGTGTCGAGAGAGCCGGGGCAGGAGCGGTTCAGGAAGGGTAACTGGGGGATCCCTGGGTGGCGCAGTGGTTTGGCGCCTGCCTTTGGCCCAGGGCGCGGTCCTGGAGACCCGGAATCGAGTCCCACGTCGGGCTCCCGGTGCGTGGAGCCTGCTTCTCCACCTCTCTCTCTCTCTCTGTGACTATCATAAATAAATAAAAATTAAAAAAAAAAAAGAAGGGTAACTGGCTGAGGGCGTCCAGCCCTCCCAAGGGGTCAGGTAGGATGGAGAGGGGAGGCATTCCTGTGGAATCTGTCCGGTGAGGTGGTAATTCCTGAACCCCCATGTCCACAGTGGTGGAGGGGAGGACGGAGCCGCGAAGTTGTGGACTTTCTATGGGGGGAGGAGAGGGGAGCTCACCACCTGAGAAGGTGGGTCAGGGGAGGGCTCGGGTGGGGAGGTTGGCCCTGCGGTGGGGGGGCTGGAGCAGACTGCGCCAGACTCTGCCGTGAGTCCCGCCTTAGTCACGTGCCGGTGACAGGTCTGGGCAATCACCGGAGAGCCTGAGGCTCAGGGCACCACGACCCTGGCCCGGAGCTGAGCTCTTGGGCTGACACTGGCCGCAGCCCAGGGTGCTCCCCGTCCAGCGGAGAGGAGCCACTGCCCTGTTTCCTACAGTGGTGGAACCCAGTGCTGCCGAGCCCGGGACCTGCAGCTCCGCTTTCGCTGGCTGGGAGGTGCACACACGGGGCATCGGCTCCAGACTCCTTGCCAAGATGGGCTACGAGTTTGGCAAGGGTGAGTGTGTGCCGCCCTGGGGAGGGGAGGGGGCCACACAACGGGGCTTGGGTCCAGCAGCGGTAGCGCCAGCCCCGTGTGCCCCCAGGTCTGGGCCGGCATGCCGAGGGCCGGGTGGAGCCCATCCACGCTGTGGTGCTGCCTCGAGGGAAGTCACTAGACCAGTGCGCGGAGATCCTGCAGAAGAGGACCAAGGGCGGCAAGGCTGGCGCCCGGAGGCCCCCGAAAGGCCAGGGCAGTGGGGGTGGACGCCCTCCCCCTCGTAGCGTGTTTGACTTTCTGAACGAAAAGCTGCAGTGCCGGACCCCGGCGGCGCTGGAGGGTGCGGCGGCCCCCGCAGGGAGGAGGAGCGGGAAGGAGATGTACCATGCCAGCAGGAGTGCCAAGCGGGCCCTGGGCCTGCGACTCTTCCAGACGGAGAAGAAGATCGAGCAGACCCAGCGGGACATCCGGGGCATCCAGAAGGCTCTCGCCCGAAACACCGGCCGGTACGTGTGGGGCGAGACTCGGGGCAGGGGGCGGCCCCCTGGGTGTCAATGCCTCAGCCCTGCTGTGGGCCTCCTGCCCACTTTCCATGCTGTGCCTTCCCCCCCTCTACGTAAGCTGGAGCACGCGCTGACCCCAGGGTGGTGGCTGTCCGAGGAGGGTCTGGTGCTTGGAGGAGGAGGGCCGTGGCCACGGGTGTGGGGGCCTCGTGCCAGTGGCCCAGCAGCTCGTGCTGAACAGCAGGCTCCTCCTCAGGCACAGTGTGACGGCGGCCCAGCTGCAGGAGAGGCTGGCGGGAGCCCAGCGGGAGCTGGGGCAGCTCCAGGCCCAGGAGGCGGGTCTGCAGCGGGAACAGAGGAAAGCAGACACCCACAAGAAGATGACCGAGTTCTAGAGCCCTGTGTGCCGTGGACGGGGCTCAGGGACCCCAGCTCCCGGGTACCCTTGGGGAGACCAGCTGTCACCCGACTAGATGCCCCTGGAAGAGGGGGCGGCCTGCTCCCAGGCTATACCCCACGGCCAGTGGACACTGCTGAGTGGACATGGGGCTGCAGGGCTCCCTTCTGGACACTTCCTTGCCCACTGAGCCCACCCGCCAGTGTCTCGGGGGGTCTCCTCAGCGAGGACATTAAAGTGATTGTGTTGTGGTGTCTTTCATTGGAGGCTTAGCTGGCTTGTGGGACCTCGGGGAGAGGGGTCCCTGCGCAGGCCCGTGGGCGCCGGCGGGAGGGCCCTGCGAGAGGCCGTTGGCCCCTGTCCGGAGGCAGGCGTCCTCTGCTGTCTTGATGGGGCTCTGCCAGCAGCTCCAAGCTGGGTCGAGCTTCGGGGGGCACCCATGTTGCCCGGACCCGCAAATGTGTGGGACTGAAGGGGTCGTGGCCGGTGAAGAGCCCGTGGGAAGCCCTGCTGCTGAGGCTGGAGGAAGCCCCAGGTTCTAGTGGCCTTGAGGCCGCCCCAGGCCGTGACCCGCTCCAGCCCAGCTCATGGTGGGTGGAGACGCCTGGAGGTAGGCTCTGAGCAGCGCTGGCTCGCCGCACACCCCCACCAGGCAGCGTTCTGCACCCCGCGCGGGCTGCAGCCAGTGGGTGAGGCTGTGATGGCGACGGCTGAGTGGCTGCGGGAGATGCAGGAGATAGATGCACAGCAGGAAGTGAGGTGGGGAGCTCGGCTGAGGGCTGCACACAGGCACCTCTCGGGGGCCCGAGCCGCGGGGCCTGCCCCACACGGGGCTGAGGAGGGGCCGGGTCCGCAGGCCCCTGGGAGCAGCTGAGCGCTGGGCCCCCTTCCAGGTGAGCCCACCCCCTGGGGCTGGGTGGACTGGCATCTCCCAGGTCGGGAGGTCGGGTGACGCCCCAGGAAGACTGCCTATGGCAGGGGCAGTGGGAGGGGAGCGGCGTGAGAGCCTGGGGGAAGGGGTGGGGGTGCTCGCTCTGGGCCAAGGCGACCCCCCCCTTTCCTTGCCTTCCCAGCCCCTCGGGGCGGCCGAGGGCATCACCTGAGACCGCGGCCTGGGCCTCAGAGGGCCAAGGCGGGGGCTCGGGGTCCTTCGGTCCCAGGTTTAGGCTCCGGTGGGCACGGCGCCCCTGGGCCTGGTCGCAGCTCTTCCCCCCCCCCCCCCCCCGGCCCCGCCGGCTGTGCTCAGTCACCCTCCGGGTCCTGCTCCAAGCAGAGCTCCCCTCCAGAGGCGGCGGCGGGAAGGGAGTGCCAGGGCTCCGGGCTCCTCCGCGCTTCTGGAGGAAGGAGGGGCCTGAGCCTTGGGGTTTCCTGTGTGGGAGTCAGCCCGCCCAGGGGAGGGGGCCGCCCCCAGCACCCCCGTCTTCTTGCCCCCAGGCCTACCTTGGCTTCGCAGGATGGGGCTACAGGCGCCCCCAGCCCCGCCTGTCCTCTGGGCCCTAGGGGGCCTTGCCCTGCTCCTCTGGCTGTGGGCACTGTGCACGGCCTGCCACAGGTATGTCTGGCCGGGGGCGGGGAGGGTGGGTGGGGGGTTCGGTGGGGGGCGGGGCTCCGAGGGGTCGCTGGGCCGCGGGTCAGAGGCTGGCACCTCGGCCCCCATTAACACCCCCCTCGCCCCCAGGAAGCGCGCGCAGAGGCAGCAGCCCCCAGGCCGGGTGATGCAGGCGGAAGCGGTGAGTGCCAGGCTGTCCCCGGGGCCAGGGCGGGGCCGGCACAGGACCCACCAGCCTTCCTTGCCCCCAGTCGCTGCTGAGACGACACCCGCTCTGCACCCTCAGCAAGTCCGACACCAGACTGCATGAGCTGCACCGCGGCCCCGGCGGCTGCAGGGGTGAGCCCAGGCGGGAGAGGCGGGGCGGGGGGCGGGGCTTGCACCCCCAGCGAGCACACTGTCCCCCCAGTGACCTCTGTCTTGACCCCACCCCTAGTCCCGAGGCCTGTCAGCATGGATGTCCAGCGCCCACAGTGGCTGGAGGTGTCCAGAGGCACCAGCCGACCTCTGGGGGCCTTCTCGCCCCGAGAACCGCCCTTCTCGCCGGCTGCCGCCTCACCTTCCATCGGCCCCGAGGCCACCTATTCCAACGTGGGGCTGGCCGCAGTCCCCAGGGCCAGCCTGGCAGCCAGCCCCGTGGTGTGGGCAGGGGCACGGCTCACCAGCAGCTGTGCCAGCCCTGGGCCTGAGCCCAGACCCGAAGTGGCTGAGTACGCTTGTATCCGGAGGCTCAAGGGAGCAGCTCAGGGCCCCCAGGGCCTGGGGCGGGGAACGGCCGAGCTGACCCCATCTGTTGAGGTAAACTGAGGCTGGGCCGGGGTGGGGCTGTGCGTGCCCTGAAGGAGCAGGATGGTGCCGACCGTGCCCTGGGCTTCCTCTCTCCCAGGTGGACATCCTGTACTCCAAGGTCAGGAAACCTAAAAAGAGGGACCCAGGGACTGCCGCAGACCAGCTGGACCCCAAGGGCAGCGAAGCGGTTCTGGCTGTGGGAAGTGACCAGTCCCACGAGACCCTCCCACTCGGGGGCCTGGGCAAGGATGACGGCCTCCTGGAAAACGTGTACGAGAGCATCCAGGACATGGGGGCCCAGGGCGCCTGGAACCCGCTGCTCCGGCACGAGGGCACCTGCGCGGGGCTTGGGGGCTCCCGGCTTCCCCAGCCTCAGCCTCGGAGGAGTCTCCACGTCCCCACCTGTTGAACGGCCACGTGTAGGCGGGGTGGAGCCCAGCTCCCGTTCCTGCGCCGCCCTGCGCCGCCCTGCGCCGCCCGCGCCCCATCCCCAGGCTCCCCAGGCTCCCCGCCTGCGAGGCCCCTGGGGTCCTGGCCGCCGCCCTCTCCCGAGGCCTTAATAAATCCCTTGCGGGCGGCCCCCGCAGCCCTGCCTCGCAGCCTGCTTTCCTTGCCGCCCGGGGGGCCCGGCCGGGACCGTCCGGTGGGGCCCCTCCGCCTCGGGCGTCTGGGCCGCGGGAGCCGCGGGAGCCGCGGGAGCCGCGCCGCCGCTCAGGCCTCGCGGGACCCTGCGCAGGGGGGCAGCTCCGGGGCGGCGCCCGCGAGCTGACCGCCCGGGGTGGGGCCTGCACCCTGGCACCGAGGAGCGCGCCGCCGCCCGGCCCCTGGCGTTACGTAAGCTCTGGGGGCAGGTGGGCAGCGGCGCGTTAAAGGACAACCTGCCCCCGGGACGCCCGCCAGCGGCCGCGGCCCCTCCCCGAGCCCGCAGCCTGCGCGCAGGCACCCGCCAGTCACCGGGCCCCGGGCTCCCCGCGGGGGGGCGGCGGGGGCGGCGGGCGCCGGGGCTCCGCAGGGCCGAGGGCCGGCAGGGGGCGGGCCGGGCCTCGCGGCGCCAGCCAATGGGGGCGCGGCCGACCCCGGCACCGCCCGGCCCGGAATGTGGACACGGCGCGCCAGCCAATGGGCGCGCGGCGGGGGCGGGGCCTCGCGCGGCGGGGGCGGAGCCTCGCGCGGCAGGGGCGGAGCCTCGCGCGGCAGGGGCGGGGGCGGGGCCGGCCGGCAGCTTCGGGCCGCGCGGCGCGGGCGGCGGCCGATCGCGGGCGGGGGTCGGGGCCCGGGCAGCCCCGCCCGGCCTGGGGGCCGCGTCCCGAGCGCCCGCCCTCGCCGCTGCAGCCTCGGCCCGGCCGGCCATGGAGGCCGAGCGCCCTCCGCCGCCCGCCCCGGGCTGCTGCCCCCCGTCCCGCGCCGCCGGCCGGGACCCCGCGGCCGCGCCCGTCTCGGTGCTCGCGCCGCCGCAGGTACCGGGGGGCGGGGCGCCGGCCGCACTCGGGCGCCGCGAAGATGGCGTCGGCGCTGCGCGGACTGCGGGCCCCGGGGCGGGGCGGGCGGGGCGGGCGGGCGGGCGGGCGGGGCTGGGAGCCCGCTGAGCCTGCCCCTTCCGCAGGGCGCTGCCGTGGGCGGCGGCTTCGCGGGCCCGGAGTTCGCGCCGCCGCGGGAGCCGGAGCCGCGGGCCGCCCACCTCGGGGCCCCGGGGGCGCGGGCGGGGGCGGCGGGGGGGCCCCGGACGCCGTCGGCGCACGTCCCGGTGCCCGCGCAGAGGTGAGCGGGGCCCCGCGCGGCAGGTGCGCAGGTGCGCGGGCGGCGGGGGGGTGCGGGCACGTGCCTCCCGACCCCACGCGCGGGTCCGGCCCCGGCCCTGCAGCCCCGGAGGAGCGGAGGGCAGCGCGGGGCGCGCGGCCCCCGTGGCCCGGGCCTGCGGGCGGGGGAGGACGCTCGGGAGGCCCGGCCTCGGCCGCGGCTCCCAGCCCTGCCCGAGCCCTCCCGGGCGCCCACCCGCGCTGGGTCCGCGGGTGGAGGCGGGCCGGGCCCCCTGCTCGCACCGGAGCCCCGGCCGCCGCCGGCCGCTGCCCCTCCCTCCCGGGCTGGCCGCGGCCCACGGCTGCTGTTGCACAACCTGGTCACCGTGTGGCCCCGGGGCGGCTGCGCCCGGCCCGGAGCTGGGGCCTGAGACCCCGGCCCAGCCGGGTCCCGCCCGGGCCTGAGGGAACCACCGGAGCGAGCCCGGGCGGGCTGCAGGGGCGCGGGCCGCGGGGAGACCCCGCTGCGAGCTTCCTGGCGGTTCCTGCGGACTTGGTCTGTAACCCGAGCCGAGCCGAGCCGAGCCGAGCCGGGGCGGGGCGGGGCGGGGCGGGGGAGGAGCCGGGCGAGGAGCCGGGCCTCCAGCCCTGTGCCTGGACCGAGGGAGCTGGCTCGCTCACACGCGCGCGCGCACACACACACACACGCGAGTGCCCGGGCCTGCACGTGTGCTGGGCCAGGGGAGGGGCTTCAAGTGCTTGCTGGACGCCACCCACGTCTCTTCCAGAGCCCCCCCAGGGAAGTCCCGGCTGGATGAGGTCATGGCTGCGGCCGCCCTCACGAGTCTGTCAACCAGTCCCCTCCTGCTGGGGGCCCCAGCCCCAGCCGCAGCCCGCAGCCCAGGTGAGACACACACCTGGCCTGGGTACAGAGGGCAGGACCCGTCGCTCGCTCGCCGTGCACTTGCCCACCCCTTGGGGCAAGGGGAAGCCCTTTGCCTGGGACGCCACCACCTGAATATCTCGTGAGGCCGGAAACAGACACGAGGGCCCCCGTGCCCCTCCGAGGCCAGCGCCGCAGCGCCCAGGGTCTGCGAGCCTGTGCCCCCCCACTTGCACCTGGCTGGCCAGGCGTGCCCCCCACAGGGTGTCCCTGTGTGTCGTTCCCTGTGTTGGGGAGCCCGGATCTCAGGCAGTGGGGCCCAGTTGCTCCCGGCCGCTGCTTCCTCCAGAACGCTGCGCCCCCCACACTCACCTGCAAACAGGCCCAGCGGGCAGGGGCTTGCGGCGGCAGTTTCTGCTGGGCAGCCTGGGCCCGCCAGGAGCCCTGACACAGGTGCCGGCGCGTCCCCACAGAGCCTGGCCTGGAGCCCTGGAAGGAAACCCTGGCGCGGCCACTGGGCAGCTGCAGCAGCAGCAGCAGCGGAGACTGGGGCTGGGACCTGGCCAGTGACCAGTCCTCTCCATCCACCCCGTCACCCCCACTGCCCTCCGAGGCAGCCCATTTCCTGTTTGGGGAACCTGCCCCAAGGAAGAGGAAGGTGAGCCTGAGGCAGCCCTCAGGGCGGGGTGGACGCGGTGGCCAAGCCTGACCACCAGCCCTTGTCACCCAGAGCTCAGTGCAGGTCCTGTTCCAGTGTCTATGGAAGCGGTGTGGGAAGGTGTTGAGCACGGCCTCCGGGATGCAGAGACACATCCGCCTGGTGCACCTGGGGTGCGGTGGGGCCGGCAGGTGGGGGTGGGGGGGCAAGCCGGGTGGACCAGGGCCTCAGCTCCCGCCCGCGGTGTCCCCAGCAGGCGGCAGGCAGAGCCGGAGCAGAGCGACGGTGAGGAGGACTTCTACTACACAGAGCTGGACGTTGGCGTGGACGTGCTGGCAGACGGGCTGTCCGGCCTGTCCCCCGTGTGCCCCACGGCCCCCGCGCCGCCCGCCTTCCCCCGCCTGGAGCTGCCCGAGCCACCCAGCCTGTCCAGCCTGCTGCGCCCGCTGGCCCTGCCCCGGGTCCCGCTGCTGAGCTCGGCGGCACCCCGAGAGGTGTGCCGCGGGGACGCCACCTTCCGGGGGGGCGAGCCCCGGGCAGCGGCTGGGGGAGGGTCGGGGTGCTCGGGCCCAGGAGAGGACGCAGCTGTGTCTCCTCTCAGGGCTGCCTGGCCCCCCTCCGCCTGGAGCCGCAGCCCGCCGCCCTCAGGACCTGCGTGCCGACCCTGCCCTCCAAGCTTGGCGCCAGCCCGAGGTGTGTGATGCGTTGAGGGGCCCGGGCAGGCATCAGGCGGGGAAGGGCCCGGGCCAGCCTCAGCCCCCGCCGTCTCCGTGTGCCCGCAGGAAGCCCCGAGGTGATGCCAAGAAGTGCCGCAAGGTGTACGGCATGGAGCACCGGGACCTGTGGTGTACGGCCTGCCGCTGGAAAAAGGCGTGCCAGCGCTTCCTGGACTGAGCGCCGCCCCGGCCGCCGGCCGCCAGGACTGGGAGGCATAAGCTACCCCCCCCCCCGGGCCTCCCCCGCGGCAGGGTCTCCCGAAGCCGCTGGCCCCCCCAGAGGGCGGGGGCGTCCCACCACTCAAAGTGCCTCTGAAGAAACCAGCCTTTTGCACTAAAGCCAAACCTCAGGGCTGTCCCCTTGGCCCGAGGCCCCCAGGGTGGCCCTGTCAGGGTGCGGACGGGATGGGCCGCACGGGGCCAGTGTGTGATGCACTTTGAGGGGCGTCAGGGAGGGGCCTCCCCTGCCCGCACTTAACCTGCCGGTTCCAGGGCTCCAGGGGCTGACGTTTGTATCGCGAAGCTCAGGTGTCTCGGGTCTGGGCCGCGCCAGGCAAGGAGAAAAATTAAAGATGTGGGGTTTTTCCAGAAGCCGTGTCTGCCTCCTTGGGGGGAAGGACGCGGGACTGAGACCCTGGCACAGGCGGGCGTGCTGGGGAGGCCGGGCCGCGGGCCGCAGAGCTCCGTCCCTGACGCCGCGGGAGGGGACGCTGTGAAACACGAGGCGTCGGCTTGAGCAGCAATTTCCCAGTTTATTGAAAGTGGAAGCTTTGCAAGAATGTCTAGGCTAACCCGTCACAGGGAGGAGACCCCCAGGCAGGCCCAGAGCTCACCCCGCAGGCGGCAGGTGCGAGACCAGCAGAGGATATCGTCCACCTGCCCTGTGGCTACAGACGGCGACAGCTGTGATTTCCTGCCAACCGCTCACCAAAGTCTTCTCCCAAATATTCCGCACATCTCCAATACAAACACAGGTTTATGATCGTTAATATAAAGTTGATATAATATAGATTATCCCCAAGGAAGAAAAGAAAACAATTTTCAAACACTGCCCTTTTTTGTCTGTTTTGTTTTTGTTGACAGGTTGAAAGCATGTTGAAAAAATAAATATTTAAGAAAAGCACACACACAGCACCCTCACTACAAGTAGTTCTGAAAGGGCCACATACAAAACACAATATAGAATCTAAAAAATAAAAACAACCATTAAGTATGGCTTTCTTAAGCGTTGCACATGTCACAGAATGAGCGAAAATAAGATCATCTTTCATAATATTGCAAAAAGTTCCAGTTTTTGCATTTTCTCAGAGTTTCTTTTTTAAAAAGGAAGATGTGCAAAGTTGGAAGCAGTAGCTGTGTCTCTCGCGTCGAGGTCCCTGTGCGGTCCTGGCAGTGTTATGACTGTTTCCCAAAACCCAGAGTCCAAATGTACAACCTGGTCAGGATCCAGAGCTTGATACAAAAGTCCTAGGGCCCCGTGCCCCCCCCAGCCCCAAAGAGCGCGCCACTCCACGGACTGCATCTCCCACTTTGGTGTTGCAAACACCAAAATACAGACACGAACAGAAAAGTACAAAACGTGAAATGTAATCTACACATTTTTTCCTCTTCATAAAAAAATATTTATTCGTTTAAACATTGATTTAAAAAAAAAAAAAAAACCAGTCACGTAAAAAAAACCCCTTCATTACACTCTTCTCCCTCGGCGCCTCCTGGAAGGTGGTGCGGTCGGTGGGGCGCGGGCGGGCCTGGGCCCCGGGCCGGGACAGTGTTGCTTTGAAGGAAAGAGGCGCCCGGTGGCACCGGCAGCGCCCGGCGGGGAGCGGGTCAGAGAGCAGGTGTCCTGAGAGCGGAGGCGGAGGCCGGCGCGGCCTGGGCGGTGGGACCGGTACAAAACCCAGAGACACTGGTGGTAGCAAAGGTCTGGTTTCCAAATACATTTGTAAGAAAGTGGGGCGGCTTAGAAAAGGGTCCGAAGGTCGGGGGGGGTGGGGGGGGACGCAGCTCTGAGGCCCCGTGAGCGTAGCGCCGGCTCTGAGAAAGGCAGCGAGGGGAGCTCCCGGCGCCCCGGGGGAGGGGGGGTGTAGGGGGGGAGGGGGGCGGGCAGGGTGCCCCGTGGAGGGGGGCAGGGGTGGGGCGGGCAGGACCCCAGGGAGGGCTGGGGGGGGCGGCCCTGCCCCTGGTCCCGACCCCCACGACCCCCACGAGGCTGCAGGCCACCTCCCCCTACCGCCGTGCATGTCTCCCCTATCCACCAGGAAGGAAGAGAGGGGCGCGGCCGCAGCCTGGGGGGGCAGAGGGGGAGGGGCCCGCAGGCCCTGGCCGGGCCCGGGTCGCTACCAGGCCCGCAGGTGCCGCCCACGCGGCCGGCCCGGAATGTGGGCAAAGTGCAGCGGGGGCGGCGGGGAGGGCGGGGGCGCCTGTGCGCCTGGAGAGTCTGGCCAAGAGGCGCCCCCGAGGGACAGCAGGACGGCCGGGGAGCGTGTGTGGCCACCCCGAGGCCCCCGTCCCCCGAGGCCGGCCACCACGCGGGGAGGTGTGGGCAGCACACGGGGCGGCACCGCCCGGGGTTAGCAGCAACAAGGCAAGGCCACCCAGGAGGGTCCGCGGGGCTGGGCACGGAGGGTGGCAGAGCTGGGGCCGTGACCCCGGGCCCCGAGGAAGTGCACGCAGGACGTGGCGCCCAGGCCCCGAGGGACGGAGCGGCCGGGTGGGAGCACCGACCCGCAGCAGAGCAGCGCGCTCCCGCCGCCGCGGGAACATAGCACCTGGGGGTCCTCGGCCGCGGGGCGTCTGCAGCTGTTGGAAGTGAAGCACCAAAGCCCGGCGGCCACCGCGACACGGGCCGCGACCAGGCTGCCGAGGAAGGGGGCGCAGAGCGGTGGCGGGGGCTCCAGCACCGGACCTCGGACTACGCAAAACCTGCCTCGACATCCGCGACGCCACCACAGCGCCCGCCGGGCCGCCCTCAAGGCTCCCAGGGTGCCTGCGCACACGTACCTGCTGGGGACCCTCCACGACCCGCAGACATGTGGGAACGGGCGCTTGGTCTGCCGCCCCCCCGGGTCCCCTGCTCGGCTCTGGGGGCCGGGGCCCGGGCGGGAGCTGATCCTCATAGACGCGCACGCCCAGCCCGGGGCCTAGGAGATCCAGAAGTCCTTGTCGGGTGCCCCCGGGGGGCTGCCGGGTCCCCGCGGTGAGTCCTCGTCCTTCTCGGCCGCCAGCAGCGCGTCCTCGTGGGCCAGGCCCACCTCATCCTCGTCCTCGCACAGCTCCTCCTCACCGTCCCCCCGCGGGTCGTCGGGGTCCTCCAGGTAAGGCCCGTCACCGGGGAACAGCTCAGGAGAGCCCTCGGCGCCCCCGCCGTCCAGGGGTCCGGCCACGCCTCGGCCCGCGCAGTCGGCACACACGCCGTGGCGCCGCGAGCCGTGCTTGATGCCCACGCTGGCAGCCGACATGAACACACGACTGCACAACTTGCACACGTACTTCTTGTCCTTGCTGTGGACCTGCGGGGGGACGGGGCGGTTAGTGCAGGGGGACCGGAGGTCAGTGCGGGGCGGGGGCGGTCAGTGTGGGGGGACGGGGACAGGGACGGGGTGGTCGGTGCAGAGGGACAGGCAGTCGGTGTGCAGGGGGTGGACGGGCAGTCGGTGTGGGGGATGGGCAGTCGGTGCAGGGTGGAGGGGTGGGGGAACACGGGGCGGTAGATGGGGGCGGCCGAGGAGGGCAGGGGCGGTCGGTGCAGGAGGGAGCAGCAGAGTTGATCTCAGCTCCTGGCCCCCCCTGAATTCCCCAGAGTCCTGGAGCAACGTGGGAAACCCCATCACAGTGGGAGGAACAGGGCCAGTGGCGTCACAGTGGACAAGGTCTGCTGAGCGGAGTCCTTGCTCCGCACCTGGAACGGCCCCTGACCGATGGGTCCCTGTCCTGGGTGCTGCACCGTCGGAGGGACCCCGTTGCCTCCAGCCCGGTGTCTCCACAGACCCTCAGGCACAGCCCGCCCTCCCGGTCGCGCCTTCCACAGGCCCCGACGGCAAGACCACGGCTTGAACCTTCACTGCTGAGCAGCGCCGACAGGCCGGGCCCCCACACGTTCTGATTCTAGAAACGGAGCCTCGGACCACGTGGCCCCGGGACCCTCCCTCCTCAGGGCTTCCTCGGCCCCTTCCGAGCACTGATCTGAGAGCAGGCCTGGCTGGGCAGCAGCAGGCGGCGCCCCCTGGGGTGCTTCCGGGCCTGGGCTCCCCTGCAGAGGGCTGGGGGCCGTGCCAGGACGCCCGGGAGCGACAGAGGTGTCCCAGGGAGCCACTCGGCCAGCACCAGATGGCTGGGCACCTGTCCTAACAAACAAATGGGAGGAAGAGAGCGGGAGGATGCGGGCGCCATGGCAACCTGTGGCTCATCCTGGGTGGGACGCGGCTCCCGAGACCCCGCTGTCCACACGACTCCCGGCCCCTGCGCAGCACACGCAAGCGCCACGTCCACACAGAAGGGCTCCTGCAGGACGAGCTAACATGGAGAGCCCCCACTGCCACCTGCTGCCCGTGGGGTTCAGCTGCGTCCCTTGCAGTCGGGGGCCCCCGACTAATTAAAGGGGAAGATACAGAGCCGCTTCTCAGAAAAAGGCGAACCTGCACACATTTGAAGTACATTTTCGGGGATGTGTGATCCTCCCCGCGGCCCGCGCAGGAGCCCAGGATGGGAATCTGGCCCCGTCCACGGCACCGGGCCATGAGCACACTGAGCGGATCGTTGGGATCCACGTTTCCCGAAGCGGTGATGCGGTTTTGCTAAAGAAATGATGTCATCACCCCCAGACACGGCTGTCCGGCCCCGGGGTGTACCAAGCAAGCTGCCACTCCTCTCCCGAGTGGGAACAACGTGGGCACCGGTGGACACATCCCTCTAACCTCTGCGGCTCCCGGGGTTCTGCAGATGGGGATGCTAGGCCCAGGGCAGCTGTGGGTGGAGGCCTCAAGGCACCGCAGCCACTGGCCCCACAGACCTGCTGTCTGGGGCCGGGCTGCCGCTGCCCTGCTCGACCCCGCCGGGGGTGACACTGCAGGCTGGGGCCACGGGATGTCCCTCAGTCAGTGGGGCTGCGCTCCCCCCAGTCCTGGGGCTGCCCCCCAGCTCTGCTGCCTGACCCCAGGGAGCCTCCCTGGTCCTCGTCCTCAGTGTCCTCCTTGGAAGATACAACAACAGGCTAGTAAGCCTGCCCGGAGCTGAGGGCCAACGGCAGGATCCATGTGGAGTGAATCTGGGAGCCACAGCCCCCCCACCCCACAGACGGGCGCACAGCAGACCCCCCTCCTCCACGGCTCACCCTGCCGGCAGCCAGCTGCCCTCCCCCAGTGCCCACCCCCCTTGAGCTGGGGCACCCGGGTCACCTCGTCACCACTGACGCAGCCCCCCACACGTCCTGGGGGTTCTGCTCCTGACGGGCAGCGGGTCAGCACGTGGTGGGGGTCCCGCCAAGCCTCTGTATCCCACAGGCGGCTCCTGACGCACGACGAGCCCCAGTGCCCTATCACGGCCGCCGCATGGCACACCCCGGGGGCTCCGGGCCGCTGCCCGCCTGGGACCACCTCCAGCACCTCAGCCCCAGGCCCGCCTTGAGCCTGCGTCTCGGGAAGACGACGCGGTGTAGGCTGTGCCCCGGCCCGTGGCTCACCTCGCCCGCCCCGGGGGCCCCTGCCCCATGGATTTTGGCGAATCTGCCTACTTGACGGACGACCTTCCCCTGTCGCCACCTGGCCAAGCAGATCCGTCCAGCTTGGCCTGCGCGGTGCCCGGCACACGGAATCCTCGCCGTAGGGGGTTGCAGGGGGGGGGAGGGGCTCGGCTCGGGCCGGGGCAGGGGTGACCCCACGGCGGGACACGGGCCGGGCCGAGGGCGGGGGCCGGGCGGGGGCGGGGGGGAAGCGCTTGCCAAGGCCGCGCCGGGCTGGGGTTGGGCAGGGCGGGGGCCACCCACCCGCTGGCGCACCCGGGTCCAGGGCAGGAGCTCGTCGGGCGGCGGCGCTCGGGGGTCCCGCGCGTTCTCGGCCCCGCGCGGCAGCCGCCCCCCGACCGTCGGCCCAGCGCGGGGGAGCCTGGCCGGTCCCCGCGGCCCGCGTGCCCCCGCGTGCCCCCGCGTGCCCCCGCGCTCACCAGCGTGTGCCGCTTCATGTGCTCCCGCCGCGTGAACTTCTTGCCGCAGATGTCGCAGGGGTAGGGCCGCTCGCCCGTGTGGGAGCGCATGTGCCGCTTGAGGATGCACTGGTGCATGGCGGAGAAGCTGCAGTACGGGCACTTGAACTTCTTCCGAATCACGGTGAACTCGTTCACTGCAACGAGCACGGGCGTCAGCCGCGGCCCCGCCCCCGCAGGCCCCGCCCCCTGCCGGCCCCGCCCCCTGCCGGCCCCGCCCCGCGGCCCGTACACCGTCCCCCCGCAGGCCCCGCCCCCACCGCCCCACGCAGGCCCCGCCCCCTGCCGGCCCCGCCCCGCACACCGTCCCCCTCGCAGGCCCCGCCCCCTGCCGGCCCCGCCCCGCACACTGTCCCCCTCGCAGGCCCCGCCCCCTGCCGGCCCCGCCCCGCGGCCCGTACACCGTCCCCCCGCAGGCCCCCCCCACCGCCCCGCAGGCCCCGCCCCCGCAGGCCCCGCCCCCGCACACCGTCCCCCTCGCACCCCGCCCCCACCGGCCCGCAGGCCCCGCCCCGTCCGCCCCACGCAGGCCCCGCCCCCTGCCGGCCCCGCCCCGCGGCCCGTACACCGTCCCCCCGCAGGCCCCGCCCCCACCGCCCCGCAGGCCCCGCCCCCGCAGGCCCCGCCCCGCACACCGTCCCCCTCGCAGGCCCCGCCCCCACGCAGGCTCCGCCCCGGGCCCCGCCCCCGCAGCCGCGCACTCGGTCCCCCCGCAGCCCCCCCGCAGCCGCCGGAGCCCCGGCCTCGCGCCCACCCGCCGGCGCTTCCACCTGCCCAGGAGGAGAGGCGCCGCCGCAGCCGGGAGCAAACGCGGGGCCTCCGCGCACGACCGGGACGGGACACCCGCCCGACAGCCCAGGGAGGCCCCCAAGCCTCGGCCGCGGCCTCGCTGCTTAGCTCGGGCGCAGAGGTGCTGGCGCGGCTGGTGGACCGCGGGGGGGGGGGGGGGAGGGGCGGGGAGGGGGGAGGGGGAGGGGCGGGGCGGGCGCGGCCTCCGCCTGGGGTTGGCCCGCCCCGCCCCGCCCTCCCACATCTCAGGGCCTGGCGTCAGGCCGTCCTGGCTCCGGGGCGCGGGGCGCGGGGGGCGCGGGGCTGGCACTTCGCGGTCCGGGGTCCGGGGTCGGGGTCCCCGCGCAGCCCCACCGTGCAGGGCGCCCCCCCCCCCCCGGCGCTGGCCCCGCGAGCGAGCACCCAGCCAGCAGCACGTTAGCCCGAGGACGCCCTGAGCCGTCACCGCCCCGGGGCCGGGGGGCGCACCCAGGTCCTGGGGGGCCGGGCCAGGGGCCTGCTGCGGGCCGCCCGCCCTGCAACCACGGCCGCACCGCACCAGCGCCCCAAACACAGACCGCGGCTCCCCGCCGTCGAGAGCGCTGGCCAGGCCGAGGCCCAGGAGGGGTGCACACCCTCGCCCCGCCCCTGCAGGTGCCCAGAGGACGCAGAGAGGAAAACCAATGCCCCAGAGCGACACGGCCCACAAGAGCAGGACCCCGGAAAGCTGAGGTCACCCAGGGCCCCGGGGCGGGAGGGGTGGCCACCTCTGTCCCCACAGCTCTGCGCCGCCCACTGAGCCACCCAGAAGCAGGGACCCTCACCGCCGTCGCCCCAAGCCGTGCCCCACGGCCCCCAAGTCCACTCTGCTGGTCAGACCCCAGCCACGGACAACTCACCACGGAAATGACCCCAAGCACAGCAGCCCCCGGGCTCCCCTGGGTGGAGCTGGTCCTCACACCCCCGTAAACGTGCGGAACAGCAAGTGTTTCCCTCTTTTTCTTTAGGTAGGCTCCTCGCCCATCATGGGGCTCGAACTCACCACCCCAAGAGCCCCAAGGTCCTACACTCCACTGACTGAGCCAGCCCGGTGCCCTCAATCCATCTCTGCTGGGTTTCTGTTCTTTTTTGGGGTTTTTTAAGCGTTTCTCCCAAGACCCCTTAAAGAGCATCTACATACTTAAGCGACCCGTATTTATTTTCCAGCAAGACCACCCACAAGACGTGCTGCGAGCGCCGTCCTCCCACCGTGCGCACCGAGAGCTCTGGGCCCCAAGGCCCGGTCCCTACGGGGACACTCGCAGGACGTGCACCCCTACTCAGGCCATCACGGCGCCAGCAGCCGGCCGTGTGCACTTTGCCACAGCTCCCAGCGACGCCACGGCCTGGAGCCCGGCCACCTGCTCGCCCCGTGGATGCCCACCCGATGCCACATCCCCGCCAGCATCGCACAGAAGTCCCCGTCCTGTCCACAGAAGTCAAGCATCTTCTTACACTTAGGAGCTTCTCACACGTTTGGTCGCGTGTGTGCGGGGCGTGCGGTTCGGGGACTGGGGGCGGGAGGGGGTGCAGCCCTGGGGGAGATGGTAAAACCCGAGCTCGGCGGGACCACCCGGGAGGCCCAGGACAGCAGGTGGGAGCCACGCACACCCCCGCACGCCCCCCACGCCCACGAACATGACCTGGTCAGCAGCCTAACGTCTGCGGAGAATCTTTTCCACAAACACGTTTTAAAAACATGAATTGGCGGGACCCCCTGGGGGCTCAGCGGTCAAGGGTCTGCCTTCAGCTCGGGCGTGACCCCGGGTCCCGGGATCGGGTCCCACATCGGGCTCCCCACAGGGAGCCTGCTTCTCCCTCGGCCTGCGTCTCTCAGGAATGAATGAATAAAATCCTTATAAAAGACCACAGGATTGGGACTACAACGTACAGTTTCAGAGGACAGCTTCCACTTAACACGTGGATGCACGCGGCCATCTGTCCGTGCAACCCCTTCCTGCCACGTGGAGACGCTGCTGTCGAACACCCACGCGGCTTCCGTGGGCCGGGCCTATGGACCACGACTCGGTGGGGTCCCTACAGGAGTGTGCACGCGTCCGATCGCCTCCGGAGCGAACACTGCGTGGCTGTCCCAGCTGCCACGCTTCCTGCGGAGCCACGCTGGGTGTGACGGGACACCGACGCCGGTCCTCGCCGGCACGCACGGCCCACGGCTGGGGACAAGAGGGAGACTCTGGGCTGTGCGTGCAGAGCCAGGGAGTGGCCACCCTTCCCGAGGGAGCAGCTCAGCCTGTGGTCCCCGGGGCGGGGGGGGGGGGGTCCGGCGTCCCTACGGCAGGACAGGGGACAGGGAAAGCCGCACACCTGGCCCGCGCCCTCCGCCGTCCCTCGGCCCCGACACACTTGCCGCCGTGGCAGCTTTCCGAGGCACGGCGATCCCGCTTTTCCACTATCACCGAATAAAGCAAAGGCGCCACCCACTCCGGGATGGAGAGGGGGAAGAGAGGAAATGAACTTTTATGTTATTTTATTTAAAACAACCTTTTTTTTTTGAGAACGTATTTATTCATGGCTTCTATTCTGCTTCCATAAACACGAAAGTTAAAGTGCTGAATTATGCATTCTGGCCGTCTGTATTTAACAACGCAGACTTCCACGTGGAAAAAAAAAAAAACCGTGTCCGTGGTGAAGTGCTGCGTTTTTTTTTCTTTTCCCTAGAAAAACAATCTAGAACACACAGGCCGGGGTGGCTGGGCGGCGACCGGGAGCAGGGCCCACGCCGTGAGGACACGTTCTGGCGTTTCCTGTGCTCCTTCGCTGCCTCTGCCAGAGCAGCGAGGGCGGCTTCACGGCCGGACACGTTCCCCGCGCAGCCGGAGGCCAGGGTCGGGGTGCGGGTGGCAGGGCCGTGCTCCCCGCGAGGTGCGGGCGGGGGTCCTCGCTGGGGGCCGGGCGCCCTCCCATCTGTGCCTCCTTCGTGTGGCCCCTCGCCGTCCCTTATAAGGACACACGTCCTTGGATTGAGGTCCAGCTTGGGTTTTCCAAGGTGATCGGACTTGGCTGCACCTGCAAAGACCCTTCTTTCCCACTTAGGGTCCCACTCGCAGGTTCCAGGGATTAGGACCCGGTCGGCTCTTGCGTGGGGGGCAGCAGTCGACCCCTCACTTCGTGAACGGCATCGTGAGCACGGAGGAGGACTTCAGCGGCTGTCGTGACTGAAAGAGCTTCCTCTTGGAGGGAACCTAAGGCTCGTACAACCTGTGATTCGCAGCCTGGGGCCTTCGGAAGACTCCCCACGCCGGGCGGCTCCTCCTCGGGGCCACGGGAAGCCCCGGGAGCCCGTGTGAGGCGGAGCTCGAGCCGCTGGGAAGGCACCCACTGGAACCCAGGCTCGGGCCTCTGTCCCAGCCCATGCCCACACCCGGGTCGCGCCCCGGCGCCAAGGGGAGGCTTGGGACGGGACCGAGAAGAGCGGGGCCTCGGGGGCCGCCACCGGGTTGTCCCCACCCGCCTCTGGTTTGGCAGGAACTGGCACGCACGGCCGCCTGCCCTGGAGCCCCGGCCTCGCGGCGTGCAGGGGTCAGGCCCTGGGGGGAGATGCGCCGCGCGGCGCGACCACGTCAGACTCCCAGGGGCCAGACGTGCCGGGGGGGGGGGGGGGGCGGGGGGGGCGGCCCTCTGCCCAAGAGCACTTGCGCCTTCCCTCATGGAACTGGCCGGATCTCGCCCTTCTTCCTCTGATGGTAATTTCCAGAAGACTACTTCGAGGACGTTTCAGAAACGGATGCAAACACGGACCCCACGTTCTGCTCCTCAGCCCCACGAGGCTGCCGACCGCTCTGTGCTGGGATTGAGCGACGCTCCGAGGAGCCCAAGCTGTTTCCGGGGGGCTTCCTGACCCGACGCGGAGCGGCTCACAGGCCCAGAGCCCGGTGGGCGCGGGTGTCCGCATACTCCCGAGGCCCGGCCACGTCGCTGCCCACCCCCCCCCACCTCCGACCCCGCGCGTCTGCTGCAGGGCTCTGTACTCTGGAGCACACGCAGGGGCTTTGGCTTCTCTGGCCACGCAGTCTGCAGAGGTCCCCCCCCCCAGCTGCCCACGCGGCGCCTGTTCCCCTTCACCGTGTGCTGGATCCCACGGCACGACCCCACGACCCCACGGGTGGTGGTGCCCACGCGGCTCCCGGGTGCATCCTTTCCCTCCTACTGGACACAGCCTGACGGCGGGTACCGGTTCCACTCGGGGAGCTATGGCCGAGCGGAGCGGCTTTCCACGCGGCCGACCAGCCACGCGTGGGTCCCAGCGGCTGCATCTTTGTGGACACCCGCGAGCCCGCGCGCCGTCGGAGCCCCCGCACCCGGCCCTGCTGGCGGCCGCGCCCTACACGCGGAGCCACAGGTCGACTGGCTGCCCGGGCTCCTCACCGGTTCACTGCATTGCCCATTTGAGGTTTTTATAGGTCCCGTATCTCGGTACAAACCTGCCACTGATTTATGGCAAACGTCTTCTCTAGCCTGTGATGGGCCCTTTTGCTCCCTTAAAAATATCTTTAGTGGAGAAGTTAGTAATTTTAAAAAAAGATTTTATTCACTGATTCATGAGAGACCCAGAGAGAGGCAGAGACCCAGGCAGAGGGAGAAGCAGGCTCCATGCAGGGAGCCCGACGGGGGACTCGATCCCGGGACCCCCCCCGGGGTCACGCCCTGGGCAGAAGGCGGCGCTCAATCCCTGAGCCACCCAGGGTCCCCGGAATCAGTGATTTTTAATGATGTCCATTTTATCAAGTGCTTCTTACGAGCTGCTGAGGAAACGACCGCCCTGATGGCGAAGCCGCCGTCCCAGGCCTCCTTCTATAAAACCTGTTACTTTCTAGGATTAGGCGTTTGCTCCAGCCCACAGCGGTGTTTGTGCCTGGCGTGGCTTACAAGCCCCTTCTCCTCCTCGACGCCCACGTGGCTCAGAAGCCCCCACGGCCGCCACCACCCAGCCCTGTCAGGGCCCGGGCTGGCCCGTCCACCGCCTCCCCCGGGCCGCACCCGCTCGCCCGTTCCCGAGCCTCAGCCCCTCCCGGGTTGGCCGATTCCAGGCCGAAGTAACTTTCCCCCAACTGTGCCTTTCGCACGCGGCCAACGGTCCCGCGGCCTTACCGAGCCCTGCTCCTCGCAGCCGCCGTGGGGCCGAGCCCCTGCACCCCGCGGCCCCCGCCCTGGCCCCGCAGGAAGGAACCGCTCGTGTCTACACCTGGCAAACACGGCGGCGTCAGTTGCTCACGGGATCTCCGTGTTACGGTCCTGATACCCACAGGAGCTTAGCGCTCCTTTTCATACCTTTTATTGTAACCACCACTGTCCTCTGCGAGTCCGTCACTTCGGATAGGAACTCGGTGCCTTTTTTTTTTATTCAGTTTTCTTTGATTTTACGATTAAAGGTGTTTCCTTGGTTTATCTTTTTTTTTTTCCTTTTTTAAGGACTTTAAAATGTATTCAGTTGAGAGAGCAAACATGAGCGAGGGGTGGGGGGCGGAGGAGCAGAGCTGAGGGGGCAGCTGGACTTGGGACCCGACCCCAGGGCCTTGGGACCACGACCTGAGCTGAGGACCGAGGCTTCACCGACAGGACCCCGCAGGCGCCCCGAGTTGGTTTATTCGTCTTTTTGCTTTAACACTGTCCTTACCTATGAGCTATGTCACCTGCGAAGAGTAGAGCTTCTCCAAAGCAGACCTTTTCATCTTGGGGTTGGAGCGTTTGGTGCACGTGTGACGATGGCACAGCCAGGTGAGATGTGCCATCCGTCTCCTCTCGGTCCCTTGTGCCTATTTCCAATGAGCCAAGTGCCACCGCGGCTCCTCTCCTCAGAAGCTGAGCCCAGAGGGGCTGCGCGAACGCCAGCCCGGCCTGGACCCCCGGCGCCGTTAGCGTCTACGTTACACTCCCATTTGTCAGAAACCCCATGAGAACCTATCCGTGGTGCCTCCAGCGATGGGGACGGCTCCTGTTCCTCGGGGGCCGCTCGGCTGGTGGCCCGAGGGCTGGCTCCAGCCCGTGGCCAGGGCAGCGCCACGCGCGTCTGTGTGGACGGCCACGCGTGCGAGGACACTCGGCGAGTCCGGGGCGCCCCTCCTTCGCCGGGACCCTGCGGAACACAGGCCTCCTTCGCCAGCTGCTCGAAGACTCCCCTCTGTCGCCGGCCTCCCGGGCTTGGACCGTCACGGGCCCCCGTGCGTGTGGAATGCGTCCTGCTCGGGGTCACGGAGCTTCTGGAATCTTGACGTGTCTCATTGGCTTCGGGAGACTAAACCGCTGTCCCCGGGAGCCGCTTCCGCCCCGTTTCTGCCTCTCTGGAGATCCAGTCGCCCGCGCATCACACACTTCGGCTGTCCGCGTGTCTGCTTCTCCTGCACTCTCGTGTGCTCTCCCCGTGAGCTTCCGCACGGACATTCTCCAGTTCGCCACCCTGAGGTCGTATCCAGGCTGCTGTTCAGCTACGCAGTGAATCCCTACCTTCAGATGTGCTATTTCCATTTCCAGAAGGTTCCCTGACTGTGTCAGCACCGGTGTCCCCCGCCCGCCTCCCTGGCTGGGATTGTCCCGGCGCTCGGCTGTCCAGCTGCTTTCCGAGACGCCGGGCAGGGCGAGGGCAGCGGTGGCACTTCCCAGGCCGCCGGGCTTTCAGGGCGGCTGTTTCATCGTGGCCGTTACTTCCGAGCGGACAGGGGAGCACCACCTTCGGCCCCTGGAGCTTCGCCTGGGCGCGGCCGGGGCTGGGACTCGTCGCACGCGCCTCAGACCGCGGGGACGGCGGCGGCCCGGGCTGCCTGCCTGGCCTCGCTGCCCCTCGGGCCTGAGCGCCCGTCCCTCCGCCCCAGCAGCGCGCCTCCACGGGCACCTCTGCTCGCCTTCCCCACCTGGCCGGGCGGCTTCCGCAGGGATCCCGGGAGTGAGTGTCGCTCGGCGCCAGCTCGGGAGGTGAGGGGGCCCTGGGGCTCCTTGTCCTCAGAGATCTGCCCCCGGCCCCAGCTGCCTCGGCCGCCCGAAGGACACCCCCGTCTCCAGGCCGGGAGCGCTGCCGCCCTGCACTTAGCCTGTTTCCTGCTCCGATGTGCCGCAAACACGCCAGGAACGAAACCTGGGGTGAAAGCACAGCTTCCCCTGTGTTCCCCCTTTTCTCTCCAGCCCTTTGCTGGCCCGTCCCCAGGTTCCATGTGTGTTTGCCAGATTTTCAAATACCTTTTTCCTCGAGAGCGAGCCCAATACGTGCTAGTTGTGGCTGAAAGTAGAAGTTCAAAGAGTTTTCAAGTGTTTTCTTTAAATAAAATCCACGCCTTTTCCCCAACACCCGAGCTATGTGCAAGTGCAAAGCCAATGATACTTAAGACGAGATTATACATTTTTAAGTTTGGGGTTTTGTTTTTTGGTTGCTTTTTTTTTTTTTTTTTTTGGTAAACACTACACCTGACGTGAGGGCTTGAACTCACGACCCCAAGATCAATGAGCCAGCCACGGGCCCCTAGATCGTTTATTCTAAATGTGATCTAAAAAAATAAAAATAAAAAAAAAATAAATGCGATCTAAAATGGCAAATCAATATCCCTAAGTGAGCAGCAGCCTTCACTT